ATGTCACACTAAAAGCAAAGGATCAGGACAAACACACGTCTCAGATCAGATTCAGACCCACACACACTACATACCATGGAGAATAGAAAAGTTTGGTGCTCAACAGATCAGTGTAAAAAAAATTCTGACGAAAGGTCATCGACCTGAAATATTAACTCACTTTCTTCTCTCCATACATGCTGCCTGACCTGCTGAGTGTTCCAGCAAAACTAAATGACCAAAAATTGGTCACTTAGTTTGACATCCACATCCTCTGCTACATTTTGGCCTGGCCAGCTTCCTTCTCTTCCCCCACCCCACCCACCCCAGTTGCTGAAGCTTTCTGCTTTGTATAGTTGACCATTACTCCACAAATGCACCCCACACAATATTACCTTTGACAGTTATTACCTCTGGTCACATGTTGACTCTCTCTCTGCCTCATGTCGACCCCATGTGAGGAGTTCCTCCTAGATTCTCTCTATGTGACTCATCACTGCCCATTACTCCAGCGTATTGGGATGTCCTCCTGACGTGAAAGGCACTATACAAATGTAATTTGTTGTTCTTCCGAGTCCATTTTCTGTCTCTGGTTTCAATCGATCATTCTCAAAGCTGACACAAGTGTGGAGAGAAAACTTTTGAGTCTACCCCTCCCCTGCCTTTAAAACCTACATTAAGATCCATCCCTTCTACCATCTTCATACACCACCACAACCACCAGAGCTCTGTGATGCACTTCCATACATCCTCCTGACACGAAAAGCACTGTATAAATGTAAACTGTTGTTACTGTTATGATGCCAGCAGTTCCATAGGGGTAACACTTTTTTTGTCGGAAGGGAAGTCTGAAAGTCTCCCTTCTCTGTTGTATATAGGAATCCCAAATGTCAAATGTGTCTGATCAATCTCAACCGATTTATCATGGCACTAAATTGGCAACTGAGTCACCAAGTTCAGACAATAGCTGATATGGGAGGTGAAAAGGTGAGAAAACATCAGAGTAGTGAAGGAGAAAGTGCTCTCCTGAAGTTATCCAGAGCAGAGAGTACGTCAAGCCAAAAAGAACGATCTTGAAACCACAGTTAATGAAAGTGCAAAATGTCCATTTCCCAGAATTGAAATCTCCCACCTCCATGAGCAGAAAATACACTTAAAAAAATTAAAGAAAAACACTGCCGTTTCAAGCGGTCATTTATTTTACACTCACACTTTAAGACTGAGAATGGTGGTGCAGAAAAGGCTGATTCTAAAAATAAACAGAAAAATGTTTCACAAAAATACCAGATTGCCAATTTGAAAATAAAATGCAAGTTTCTATTTATAGATTGTAAAGAGATTTTTTTTCCTCCTTCAAACTTTTCCGGTTGAAAAAGAAAATATTTTGAAGGAATGAATGAATTGTCTTGTGTCTGTGAATAGTATAGACACAAGCCATTTGGCACATTAACTCTAAGTTGGTGTTTCTCATTAGATGAGTCATCTAGCCTAAACAACAACAAGATGACATTTGTATAGCACCATGCACGTTGGGAGGACGTCCCAAGGCGCTGGACAGTGTACAGCATTTCAGACCCGAGTTGGAGTCGGGGGGAGAGAAGGGAGGGGAAGGGGGGTGACCGATGGCATGGTCGAAGAGGAGGGTTTTGAGGCGGGACTTGAAGGAGGCTAAGGAGGGATGAGGCGGAGTGATTGGGGGATGGAATTCCAGAGGTTGGGGGCAGAGTGGCTGAAGGTTCTCCTGCTAATGGTTGGGCGGGTGGGTCGGGGGACGTGGAGCAGGCTGGAGTCGGCTGAGCGGAGGGATTGGTAGGGGGTTAGGTGGTCGGAGAGGTAGGGTGGGGCGAGGCCATGGAGGGGTTTGTAAGTGAGGACCAGGATCTTGAACTGGATCCTTAGAAGGATAGGGAGTCAATAGAGTCGGGCGAGAATAGGGGAGATGGGGTCATGGAGTTTGGTGCAGGAGAGGACACGGGCTGCAGAGTTCTGGACTATCTGCAGCCTGTAGAGGGAGGAGTTGGGAAGGCCGACAAGCAGGGCATTTGCATAGTCGAGCCTGGAGGTGATGAAGGCATGAACAAGAGTTTCAGTGGCCTGAGGGGTGAGGTAGTGGCGGAGTTGGGCGATGTTACGGAGGTGAGGGAAGGCAGAGCGGGTCATGGCTTGGATGTGGGGAAGAAAAGACAGTTGAGGATCGAACAAGACACCCAGGTTCGTGATGGCTTGGTGAGTTGAAGTGTGCAACCATGGAGGTTGATGCTGCCAGAGCCTGAGGTGCTGAGGCGCTGGTGTGAGCCAATCAGGAGGGCCTCAGTCTTGTTCACATTCAACTGTAGGAAATTTGCCCTCATTCAGGACTTGATGTCCGACAGGCAGTCTGTCAGGACAGCAGTGGTCCTGGAGCTGAGGCTGGAGGCGGAAGATAGAGTTGGGTGTCATCCGCATACCGTTGACCCCATGTTTGTGGATGATGTCACCAAGGGGGAGCATGTAGATATTAAAGAGGAGAGGGCCAACGACAGAGCCCTGGGGGACGCCAGACGTGACAGTATGGGGGCTGGAGGAGAAATCGTTAGAGGCAACGAAGTATAGACGGTGAGAGAGATAGGAATCGAACCAGGCAAGGGCAGGTCCGTGAAGAGGAGAGGCGGTGTATGAGGATGGAGTGGTTGACAGTGTCGAAGGCGGCAGAGAGGTCGAGAAGGACAAGGAAGCAGATGGAGCCCTGATCACAGATGTTCAGAATGTCATTAGTGACTTTGACCAGGGCTGTTTCCATGCTATGGGCAGCGCGGAAGCCGGATTAGAGGGGTTCAAAGAGGGAATGGCGAGAAAGAAAGGAGCGGAGCTGGGACGCAACGACTCATTCCAGTCCAACCCCACTCTCCTGCTCACTCCCCAAAATCCTTTCATATTTCTCTTTTTTAATCATTTAATTCCTATTAAAATTTGTTTCAACTATGGTTTGAGGAAGAGATTTCCACATTCTGACCAACCTATGCAGCAAGAGATTTTTTTTTGTAACCTCTCGTTTAATTCTATTTCTGATCATTTCAAAATACGTATCCTCTTGCTCCCAACTCAAACCATGATTGAGCTTTAATTAACTTGACTTCTTCACGTTAAAAAGGCAGCCACTTGTCAGTGATATCCGAATTAATTCATTGGTATCAACTGCAAAACTTCCCACGCAATTCAGGTGGTTGCAGTTACGGTGAACACGTCAGATCATCTCTTTCAAACCCACGTTGAAAAGGGCTCAAAACAAGTGCTCCAGAATAAATCCCATTACATGCGGCTGAATGAAGGTCTTGAATTTTTATAGTGCTTTAAAACGTCATAAAGCACTTCAAACAATTACTGCCAAGTGCAATAGCATTATTTGTGGGCATAATACTTCACTACAGGTACTATAAGGTGTCACAAGGTGAATGACCAATTACTATGTACAGTATTGCAGGGCCAGGTCTCCAGGAGAAACTCCCTTTGCTTTTCAAAGATCACATGACAATATTCAAGGTTTGTTAAAACGCTCAATTAACCTTATTGTGTCAGATTATACATACTTGTGCAAATTTATTACTTCCAGAATAAAATACATTACATCTACATAATAGACACCAGAGTAAAACAATTACACCACGATTACAGACACCAGGAATAAAACCCATTGCAGTATATCCAGATTACAAACACTGGAACAAAACTCATTATGTCAAGATTATAGACACCAGAACAAAATGCAGAACATCTACATTATACAGACTGGAATAAAATCCATTATGTCAAGAATATAGATACTGGAATACAATATATACTTATATAACACCTTTCACATTGAAAGGACAGTGCTTCACATTGCTGTCCAGGCATATGTCAAAAAGGTAGTTTTTGAGAATAAATAATAATCCTTGCATTTGATATAGTGCCTTATCATGTCTTCAAGACGTCTAAAAGTCCTTCACTGTAAAGTGAATTGGTGGTCAAAAGAAAAATTAATAAACTCATTATTTCTAGACTAAACCCCAGTCAATTTATAGGCTGCCAATGGCTTCTTGACTCTTGTCTCGCAGACATAGAGTTAGTTTATACTTTTAGATCAAAGAAATAGTGAAAAGCAAAGTACAATATAAGCACAAAGGGGGATCTGAGTGGATGCTGCGAGGTGGTTAATAGAGTGAAGGACGGAATGACATCCAAATGACAATACAGGACTCCAGGCCCCGGTACTGTCCAGGACCTCAGAGCAGACTGGTGCCCCCCAGCCCAGGCTCCTGCGTTGAATGGATGAATGAACAAACTTAGCACCGAGGAAAGAACAGAGCGGAGAGGGAGTGCTCCAGTCAGGTTACTACACTGCGATCGTGCAGCTGTTTAAAGACTGAAAAATTCAGCAATGCTGCTCCACTGCAGCGCTGTGCCAAAGCACACAGCTATCTGCACACCATCCCCAACACATTCCCCCCCAAATATAATCATAATGTTCTTTGTTTACCAAATATTAAAAGCCATAAATAGATTTGCTTCCACAAACTGGAGCCCGATGGTAATCTGAACCCGGGCTTTCACTCCGCCGAGCGGGACTCCCCTCTCTCTGCTGCTCCGGTACTTTTTGAATGGTGATGCGGTGAACCGAGCAGTCGGTGTTATCAAGTCAGTAACACACCGCACTCAAACAGAGCATTAAATCAACAGTACTGTGAGTCGAGGCACTGCCTGTGCAACGTTATGGCTAAAATGATATAATATGCGTTAAAGCAGATCTCGTCAAATAGATATGCAGTGACCACCCGATATGATCAATGGAACAATCGAATCTTTAGTAAAAAGACTCCGTGTTACTGAAATCCACAACATTGCCCCATTCATCACCGGATTGGTGTCGGGCGCTGCTCACCAGGTCCCGTTTCTGACGAGATGACAAGTTCAGCTTCGGACTAAATGAATTATTTCTAGAAACAATTTCCTACAATTGAAAAGGACACACGAGCTGCAAAAATAATTCCCCCCAAAAACCTTACCATCTCCGGCTGCTGCTCCGCGACTACAATTGCTGCAAATGTGCTTAATCTCTTTGCCAATGTGACACTGGATCATGAAAGAAACGTTGTGGTTTGTAGGTTCCTTCAGCGGTTTCATCCTCACAATGTAAATGGTTCTCTTTTGGGGCTTTCCCCCACTGTGGTCTTGGACTGAGCCTTCTCTGTGTCCGGACGCACACAACACGTGTGGGTCTGTGTGTACGGAGTCCGCCATCAACAGCCGAATGGATTAACACCAAACAGCAGCACAAAGAGATGAGGCGAAGCAATACTCATTGATTTCTGGTGACCTTTCCTGACTGTACTCCAAATCGCCAATACAATCTGCTGAACACACACACACACACACAGACAGTAACCTGAACACACACACACAGTAACCTGAACACACACACACACACACACACACACAAGCTAAACACACACACACACACAAGCTAAACACACACACACACACAAGCTAAACACACACACACAAGCTAAACACACACACACAAGCTAAACACACACACACAAGCTAAACACACACACACAAGCTAAACACACACACACACAAGCTAAACACACACACACACACACAAGCTAAACACACACACACACACAAGCTAAACACACACACACAAGCTAAACACACACACACACACACAAGCTAAACACACACACACACACAAGCTAAACACACACACACAAGCTAAACACACACACACACACAAGCTAAACACACACACACAAGCTAAACACACACACAGACACACACGCACAAGCTAAACACACACACACACACAAGCTAAACACACACACACAAGCTAAACACACACACACACACACACACAAGCTAAACACACACACACACACACAGTAACCTGAACACACACACACACACAGTAACCTGAACACACACACACACACAGTAACCTGAACACACACACACACAGTAACCACACACACACACACACACAGTAACCTGAACACACACACACACAGTAACCTGAACACACACACACAGTAACCTGAACACACACACACACACACACACACAGTAACCTGAACACACACACACACACACACACAGTAAGCTGAACACACACACACACACAGTAACCTGAACACACACACACAGTAACCTGAACACACACACACACAGTAACCTGAACACACACACACACACACACACAGTAAGCTGAACACACACACACACACACAGTAACCTGAACACACACACACACAGTAACCTGAACACACACACACACACACACACACAAACACACACACACACACACACAGTAACCTGAACACACACACACACAGTAACCTGAACACACACACACACACAGTAACCTGAACACACACACACACACAGCAACCTGAACACACACACACACAGTAACCTGAACACACACACACACACAGTAAGCTGAACACACACACACACACACAGTAAGCTGAACACACACACACACACACACACAGTAAGCTGAACACACACACACACACAGTAACCTGAACACACACACACAGTAACCTGAACACACACACACACACACACAGTAACCTGAACACACACACACACACACAGTAACCTGAACACACACTGCACGAACTCTATCTACAACTGAGACGTCTCCTCCACCCGCACAGTAGCTGACCAGCTTCTTCAGTAGGTCAGATCTCCAAGCGGTTCCGAGCCATGGTGTTTCCTGAGGGAATCTTCTCCCCTCGATGCAATAAACACATGACCACCGTCTGTGGTGCTGTCATTAAGCGCCGACTGTAATCAGGGGTGAAGTGCAGTATTGAGCAGCCCACGAGGATGCTCAGGATTGGAGAGAGAACCAAGGAGAGCAGACACGTTGCCGGAATAGTTAAATGAACTGTGAGCAATTACTCATGCATTACACCTCAGTCCTCTGCTGTTTTGCTTGTTGAATTACAGAACCATTTGGTATTGAAATGGACTTATGAACTGTACATTAGAGGTGAAGCCGTTTAGTTTCCTAATAAAAAAACTATTTAAGTAATTAAGGCTTTATAAATAACCAAATATCTTCATTTCCGTGAGAGCAAATCTTCAAATGGACTCTTCTTGTGGAATCACTGACTACTGTACACGCATCTCTTCTAAAACCATAAACAGACTGCACACACTGAGGTAAATATTATTTTGCAAACTTTTCAGAAAATTAAACAGAAGTGCCTTAACCGGTATATTCACTATTTTTCAGATTCTACAAAACTGAGCAGAATAAAACTAAATAGTGTTAGACATAAAGCCCCTTATGATTCCAGAGAGACAATGACTATTTGCAGCAAAGTCACACTTTTGACCAGACCATTTTACACGATAACAAACGTCTCCTCCCCCATTGCTTCTCTATTTTTTCCTCAGGCACCAAAGTGAATCCATAGTTAGCAACTTGAACAAGGGCACCTCAACCACAAGACAGCCTACATCTAACTCGGCTGCAAAGTTGTTTTTTCTGACCCTGATATTGTTCAGTGACCTCTCACTGCCTGACAGATCTGTCAGGGACTTTACAACCTGAACTTTTATTGTGCTATGTTTTATTGCTTCTGGTGATGCCCATTTCATTCTACTCTTATCCCTTCATCCAGTCACTTTCAATGAGGCAACTTGGACACGTCTGGAGAGACATCTGAGCTCAATGACCTGGGTCCCAGTAGTAGGGATCAAAGTGTCTGAAGGATATACAGCCTAATCTGATGGTTCTGTGTTTAGGCCTCAGTGACCAGGAGGCTAGTGTTAGGTGCTTTCTTGCATTTCCATTGAAACTGACTGAGGTTCGCGCGTGTGCAAGGCTTGATTCAGTCAACAGTTGAAGGACGGCCTCTGGGAGGTGCTGTAAAAGCAGCTTTCAAGGGACTCGGGAGTCACAATCTGCTTGTGAATTAACTCTAAAAATAATCAAGCTGCAGAAATGCTCAACAACACGGTGCAGTGTCAACATGTGCTTCATATCAAACCGTGAACACGGTGGCACAATGGCAGAGACTAAAAGTCATCATTCTGTTTGTCCTACACATTTTCCCTGTTATGCTATGCCGAGGGGCAGCTGCTCATATGTTCATGTCAACACTGTCAATCAGAACAGACTATGCAATAGGTTGTGTGCTAGGCACCATCTCATGCTAATATATCTTACTATAAACTCGAACTTATTTATAAATTTAACAAAGACAATGCAAGAGAAGTTTGTTCCAATGGAAATAAACCAGAGACTGAAAGGGCTGATCTAATAGTTGATGCAGTACAACATAAACCAGCCTCCAGGAGGCTGCAGTTTTAGTTCATCAAAAGTCCACATTCCCACAGCAGGAATAATGGGCAAAGGACAGCACAGCCCGAGGAAGCTTTACTGCTCTCATCACCACCAGAAAATGCTTCTCTTGATGGCCTCCGTGGGTTCATTCATTTTGCACAACATTGAATGTGGGCAACGGCTGAGGGAGTAGAGGCTGAGAAAACAGTGAATTGATGCTTAAGCCTTGCTACATCAGCACACTGAAAGAGGCTATCCAACCTCCTCGACAAAGTGATTCATGATAAACACTGGACTGTAGCTTTAAACACTAGTTGTCTCTTATAGACTGTAATGAAACGTGTGTGTGTGGTGGTGGTGGGGGTGGTGGTGGTGGTGGTGGTGGGGGGGGGGGGGGGGGGCGGTAGCATAGTTCTGTCTGCAGGGAATTATTTGCACAGTTATAATGACATGACACTGACACTGACACTGACATCACATCCAACAATGCCAATGCCCTGTGGCCTCCCCGCCTTTTACATATGGATCCACACTTGTGAATATGAAGCCAGAACCGCCAACGTACAGGAAGCGTCCACTTACGAATAAACTATTTTGAGGCACACACATGAGGCGTCACATAGAGACTGAATATACTGTTACCATCACCTCTTCTGAAACGAGGATAACAATTGTATTAACATATGTGGAGGCAGTTCTGCAATTCTACAGCTCGAATTGCACCTTCTGACACGTTATAAAACACAAACGTAAGGACTGTGTTTGCTGTTGGCATCAGTATTCTAAAGGAATCTTATCTTAATAAATCTAATCTGCTGCATTGTACGACCATTTCAAATGTAAAACATTAAATTCACATTGTCACTTCTATTTTCAACCACATACTACATAACATTGTCTTATTATCTTCTGACACACAGACTGTCAGTTGAAGTTCCGCTTACCGCCTAGATCATTTTTAAATAAAAATAACTTAGGCCACTCTCATGTCAATCTACTCCATCCACACTTCTACACAGTGCTACAGCTGAATATTTCTTGGATTTAAGTGGATTGCAATTTTACGGGGATCACCAGGGGAGCGATCTAACTCACATGTACATTACAACTTAAATTGGAATGAACGATCTCAAGAGAGGTTCAGATGAAGAAAATAGTTAGGTCATTTGATCTCATCCTTCCAGAATACCCACTCTAATGTCATGCCATTACAGCATCAAGCTGTTTCTTAAACGTATCCAGCATTATGGCTTCAACAATTCTTCCTCCATCTCTGCAATATTGCCTGCCTCCTCCACCTATTCTATTTCTCCCCAACACAGCCAAAACCATCGCCCATGCCTTCATCATTTCTAGATTTGATTTCTTCAATGCCCACCTTGCTGGCTTCCTCAGCTCTAACCTCAAGGATCAACAGATCATCCAGAACTCTGCTGCTTGCATTTTCTCTTGTACAACATGGGACACTGCTGTGCACAATTGACTGCCATAATATGCCCATAAAATACACAGTACAATATATTCTGAGAACGCATTGAGACTTCAACGACGTGATAAGGCACTATATTAAATGCAAGGTTAATATTATTACCATTAATACTTTCTGGTGCCTGAAATTGCCCTTCACAATCTGAACTTGTGCCCTCTTGTCCTGATGCCTTGATGTATCTGAAAGTATTTTTCTGGGTTTGCTCTCCCATCCTATCTCATATTTAGCATGTTATATAACTTGAAAAGGTCCTCTCTGAAACATCTCTGAAACATATATATTTCATGGCCACTAATAAACAGATATCTAAGGAGTATTGGGTATGGGGAAAAGGGCGGGTTAATGGGACTGAAAGGATTGCTCTTTAAAATAGTCAGCGCAGACATGCTGGGCCGAATGACCTTCTTCTGTGCTTAAATTTTTATGGTTCTATAACTGAAGAAGCATTCTTTATTCACATCAAAAGCATCTTTTATTCACATCAAAAGCATTCCTCACTCTAACACTTGAGATCATCAAGAACAACAACAAGATTCCATTTATAGAGCACCGTTCACGTCGGGAGGACGTCACAAGGCGCTGACGTCCTCAATGTTCTCCTTC